GATATTGAGGATCAGATCAACTTGGCCACAATAAGGAAATTTTACCCATGGTATGACCATTTCCCATCCTCCCACTTTGATTCTCTGGCAACCTATCTGTATAACCTAGCAACTCAAAAATATAGACGTGCCTTTACCCTTGCAAGATTGAATATATTTCCCTCAGCTGTACTTGAGGAATGATTCGAACAGATTCCATATGTCCCTGTAGAGATGGCAGCACAGAATCAATGGTTCATACCCTCCTGGCTTGCACTCTTTATAAAGATCTGAGGAATGAGATTATTACACCTCTTTTATTGTCTCTTCTGGGGTGCCCAGTCACTGCCATGGTGTCTTTTCTCCTGGCAGACCAAGAGGAGCAGATGTCAGCAAAAGTTGCAAGGTTTCTAGCTGGAGCAATCAGAATAAGGCCCACTATTTGACTGCTGATTCAGGACCCTAAACTGTGTTTTATATAATCAACTTTTTATTTTGTTCTGTGTATACCACAATGTTCTTTTATTGCTATGGCCAATGGCTGATGCAAATAAAGTTTTATTCATTCATTCATTCCATCAGGAATGTTCTGGTTTTTGGTGGTCTCCTAAAAAAAAGCTCAACAACTTTGTGGACCTGGCACCTGCTTTGTAGACCCACTAAGTGAAAACGGGGAGTATAAATATATTAAATAAACTACTCAACTAATATAGTCAGCTACCTCTAAATGCCAATTTACACAGATGGTGCTTTAAGGTATTTTTTCAGATTTATTTTTTATGTTATTCTGTCTTAACTGTGCTTGAAGTATGTGTTGTTGTTGTTGTTGTTTTAAAAAAAACCTGTAAAAATTGTAAATAAATAATTGTGCTCAATCTCCCCCTTCTTTCCACCTCGAGGATGAGATATTGGTTTGATATCCTGATTGGTAAACAAATGTGTCTATTTGCAATCCAGCGGCATCTGACATATTTGATATGCCCTTTTATGCTTGGTACGAAATGTTTTAGTGCTTGCTGAAACCATTTCCCCCCTCAGTTTCCCAGAATTTAAAGGTGCTGTTTTAACAAATGGTTTTAAAGCTATATAGACCTGGTTGTGTTGGGGGCTTTATTCTGTGCTAATCTTGTTTTGTGTGTTCTTCTGGGAACCCATCAGGATTTAAGAGCCAAAGGGAAACATATGAAATCAATCAATCACTGTCAATAATGCCCAGCTTCTAAGGATGCTGACTGAAAGGCTCACAGACTGGGCTGGATCCAAGTACCCTGTATTTCATTGTGGATTGTCATTAGGCTAAAATTTAAATTTTGAGTAGGAAGGAGGGCATGAAGAAAGCCTTTGTTGTTTCTCATCTATTTGAATTTCTTTTCTTTTCCATTGAAGCATTCTCTATATCTCCTGAGTAGTATAGGTAGGGCTCTCAACAACTTTCGGGGTGTCTTGGCTTTTATTTTTGAAATATTGCAAACCTAAATATAGCCCTGACTGGCTGAGCATCCTCAGTTGATGTCTAGATGGAGGAAGAATTCAAGTCAAAGCCAAATTCATACTTCCCAAAACAATATACAAACCCAAACCATGGCTATTCTTTGAATTTTTCAATGCAATTTTCCAACCATCCAGGGTTCACAAAAATTCATGTATTAGGGGAAAGTGCGCGTAAAAATGAAGGTGCATTATATTGGGTGAAATTGCTTGCTGATGAATTTTCACGAGGATTTTCCCCACACAATTGCTGCAAACCATGGATAACTCAATTCAAGATGGGAAAAATCAGAAATGGAAAGAACCAAAAAATGAGGAACGGAGAAAGAGAAAGAAAGAAAGAAAGAAAGAAAGAAAGAAAGAAAGAAAGAAAGAAAGAAACTATGTGAAATCCTTCCATTCCTAGTGATTAGATTTTTTAGATACCTGAATGCACACATGCAGCTGCAAATGATAGTTCATGTTACATACTGTCCTCCTTGCGAACGCTGCGGGTTACGAGCTTCGCTAACCTGGAAGTAGATGCCCCTTGTTGCGAACTTTGCCCTGGGATGGGAGTGGAAGTCGTGCGGCAGCAGCAGGAGGTGCCATTAGTGAAAGCGCACCTCATGCTATGAACAGTTTCAGGTTACAAACGGACCTCCGGAACAGATTAAGTTCATAACCAGAAGTACCACTGTTCTCAGAAAAATATATTGTTTCTGCATCCCAGTGATGGCCATTTTAAAGAATTTGAGTACATATTCATACAAGTTCAGTTTCTTTACATTAATTTAACCAGTAAGAAAAATATTTTTTGGGATTTTGAACATATTTCTTGAATTAGAAATTATGCTAATGATCCCATAAAAGGATCGAAAGTATTTGTGTCTGCATAAGCACATCTACTTGGCCTGTTATGAACTGGGCAGGGTAGGAGAAAAACAATAATAAATACCCTCTGACCTAGCAGAACAATCACGGGTTGTAATAGAAGCCACTGTCTTCTCTTCTTTGCCCTGAACTGTCAGGTATCAAATAGTGAATATATTTACTGTGTCCTTAACCTGCTAGGTAGAAAATTAGAACTCACAGGTGCTAGTCCTCATCACACAACAGGTGGGAGACAGGAAGGAATCAAGAGATCTGTTTCCTGATTCCTTGCATTGTTGGACCTAGGAGTTTCTGCAAAGCAGAGGGATCAGCTCAGGGGTCAGCTAACTTTTTCAGCAGGGGGCCGGTCCACTGTCCCTCAGACCTTGTGGGGGGCCGGACTATATTTTTTTTGGAGGGGGGGAATGAACGAATTCCTATGCCTCACAAATAACCCAGAGATGCATTTTAAATAAAAACACACATTCTACTCATGTAAAAACACCAGGCAGCCCCCACAAATAACCCAGAGATGCATTTTAAATAAAAGACACATGCTGATTCCCAGGCCGGATTTAGAAGGCGATTGGGCCGAATCCAGCCCCCGGGCCTTTGTTTGCCTAAGAGAATGTGCACCCTGTGGCATATGATCTCCAAGCTTCTTCATCACTTAAATGATTGCATATGTTGGGAGGTAGAAGATATTATTCATTTCCAAAAGTGCCTTCTTAGCAACAAAGGGGAGTTCCATTTGCCACTGAAAGTATCTTTGAAGAGTGCTCAGACTCAGACTATTCTCTTCCTCTCCCACTTTCCCCTCAAAGATTTTAATTGGTTCAAATTTGTATACCTATTATTGGCTTATATTTGCTAGAATACCTACTGTGGAAACTCAATAGACTGATGTAGTTTTGGAGTAAAGAAACTGGGCACATGGAGGCAGATAAATGTTAGCAAAGTAAGGATTAAAGATGATAAATTAAAGCCACAACCTCAGCAAGCAGAGTTTTTATTTTAATTCATAATTCATCCCTTGATGTGAGAAGGCACAGTAATTTCCCTATAAAAACTTGATCAATATTTAGATAAAGCAGCGAATACCATTTTAGCAATCTTTATAGTGCCATAAAATCGGCTTGAATAAAAAGTCAAGAAATAAAAAAATTGCAAACAAGGACTGTCATAATAATTACATGCTTGCTGAATCCTTGCTGCGGGTACACACCTCAAACTTGTAAAAGTGGTGATTGTAAAGAATACAGATTAGCTTTAGATTGGCCATGTTTTTTCATCATTAAAAAATTCTTGGGTAAGGGAGAATTTATATATTAGGGTTGCCATATTTCAACAAGTAAAAACCAGGACCCCCAAAATGTTGTTGAGGTTTTTTGTTTTTTTACAAAAACACTAACAGCAAACAAACCACGATTTTTCGATTGGCTTGCCTAAGATCCAAGACAATTCTGCCTTTGAAATCCCAGTAATCCCAGACGTATGGCAGCCCTATTTATATACAAACTGGAAGAATGCTAGTTAAGTCCGTTACTCTGGAGTGATTTCACCAAATTGTGTGATTAAAAAACATACAGCCCCATTCTACCCCCAAGGGGGGAAAAAACACAACCCGCTAGCTACAACTAGGTTGACCATAGAAGAAGGCTATAAAAGAAATTTGCCTTATTTAGGCACCATTTTTCTCTTGCTTTTGAGGATCATTAACCTTTGCTGTCTCAGATTTCCATAAAGGAATAACCTAGATGTTACATCTGCACTGTGTTCATGTCTTACATGTGTGAAGAAACACAACATGAGTTGAGTGCAGGCTGGTCCATTTGAGCAAAGGGGTGCACTGCCCCACCAACACCGGCCAGCCAGCTTCTGCATCCCTGCCCTCTTTCCTACAGGCACTTGAGGGGGTGGCATTTGTTGCTGACCTCCTCCTCCTCTTCCTTAGTCTCAGTGTTGCCTTTGTAGAATTCAATCAGGAGTGATGGGGATGGAAACAAAACTAGAATTAGTTGGTTCCATGTGCCATTGGTTCTGATTCCTCCTACTGTTGGCCTCTCTGCTTTTCACTGTTCCAGTCTCAATGGGCACCAGCCACCACTATGTGAGTGAGAATAACTGGATTATTCCACATTCTGGAATATATTTTTGCTTTAGTGTAAGAGTGGGGAATCCATAGTCCTTCAGATGTTTCTAGACTACAACTCCCATCTTCCCTGAATTATTGCTCCATGCTGGCAGGTGCTGATGGGATTTGGATAGCCATTGTTTCCTTCCCTCTGCTTTAATCTGAAATACTATTGCAGTGGTACCTCGGGTTGCAGATGCTTCAGGTTACAGACTCCGTTAACCCAGAAATAGTACCTTGGGTTAAGAACTTTGCTTCAGGAAGAGAACAGAAATCGCACAGCGGCACGGCGTTAGCGGGAGACCCCATTAGCTAAAGTGGTACCTCAGGTTAAGAACAGTTTCAGGTTAAGAACGGACCTCCAGAATGGATTAAGTTCTTAACCCGAGGTACCACTGCTTTCTTGTTCTCTTGAAAATCAGGATATCATCCCATTTTTGTGTGTGGAAAGTGTCCCAGATCCCATTCAATATAATGCTGTCCTCTGTCCTTTATTTGATATTTGATTAAATTCCCTCAGCCACCCATTTTGCATTTACTTTTCTAGGAACATCCAGCTCAGATTCCTATTCACCAAAAAGAGGTGTTAGGAAAGCATTTTGCCACCCCCACCTCCTCCATTGCATAGTAGAAGTCAAGACATGTTATTTGGAGAGAGATGACATGTTATTCTGGAGGAAGCTATTCTTAAAAGACCTGACAAAAGGTGAGTTAATATGATTTTTTTAAAAGGGCCTTAATTGTTTTTTAATGTTTAAAAAAACCTTTAAGAGGGGGCAATTCGAATCAGGGAAGCAACATAACGTTCAATATTTTCTGTAGATGCTGGTTCCCTTTCCCCTCTGTGGCATATCAGACATAAATCACACCTCCTCATGGAGGGCAGTGGTTTAGAGGGAGGAAAGGAGCAGAGAATAGGCGAAAAATTAAGCAGCTTCCAAATCTCCCTTTTCTGAAAGAGGAAGAGTCCATTAGGGTTCTAGAGTGTGGAAACACTTACATTTGCAGGTAACATTAAATTTAGTCATTTGTTCACAAGCTGTTATTAGGGAGAGAGAGAGAACAAGAGACAAAATATTAAAGGCAGGTACACAAAGTATAGCGGATAGAGTGAATTACTGCCTCAGCCAGATATATGCCAGTGCTCTTCATACTAGTTAAACTTAGCCACTTTGATTTAGGCCAGATAAATCTTACTGAGGACTCAGCTATTCAGCTGCAAATAAAAGGTTATAAGTGTGCTTTAAGGGCAATATACAATGTGACACTAGATGGCGATGGTGAGCCTTATGGAAAATTCAATGTAGAGTCATACCTTAGATCCCGAACGCCTTGGTACTCAAATGTTTTGGCTCCCGAACACCGCAAACCCGGAAGTGAGTGTTCCAGTTTGCTAACATTCTTTGGAACCCGAACGTCTGACGGGGCTTCCGAGGCTTCGGATTGGCTTCAGGAGCTTCCTGCAGCCAATCAGAAGCCGTACTTTGGTTTCCGAACATTTTGGAAGTTCAAGGGACCTCCGGAACAGATTCCGTTCAACTTCCAGGGTATGACTTCATTTTTAAAAATGCTTTTTTTAAAAAAGCATTTTCAGAATTGTTTTTATATGTGTGTAGATTTCACCAGAGTCTGGCAGGATTGTGTCAGTTTACATTTCAGCTCAACTGGCTTTTGGACTAAGATATAGTTCAGTTTTGTGAAGAAACATACATTGAACACCCCGCTCCCTTAAACATGCTAATATTTCATGGGACACCAGGACTTCATTTGCATTCTGAACAGAGAAGAGGTACAGAGAGTTTCTCTTTGTGAAGTGAGTGCTGTGGTGGTCGGCTGATGCCTGTATCATTTTGTCGTGCTGTCTCTTTTTCTACTTTGTTAGGTGTGGCAGCCATTTTGGGCTATACCATGTCCCCTCCCCAAGCCATCATTTTGTGACTAGGGCCCATGGTACTTTCTCAAAAGGCCAGATGTTCCAGCTGCCTCCAAAAGGTTGGTCACTCCTGTATATAGGCTCCAAAGCACTGAGGTTGAGTGCTTCAGACAAACACCCACCCACCATTGTTCTTCTGTTACGTTCCGAAAAAGCTGAAACCTTCACTGAAGTCAAAGACTCCATCAAATCATTGCTTGGGATAATGAAATTTCAAATGGCTCCAAGCATTTCTGCAAGAGTCAAAATCCTTTGAGAATGAGGTGACATTTTCATTTTTATACTGTTCTAGCCCCAAAATGTTAGAATTCGTGAGTAGTTCAGAAATAGCTCCCCCACCCCCCAGATAAGGGATCATTTTTGCCTACTTGTCTTATGTTACAACTTCACTTTCATCACGTAAATCATTTCCCACCTCTTTGTCAATCTCTGCTGTAGTGCTTATTCCCATATCCCCTTGGTTGGGCATCCATTCCATTTATATTCTAAATGGTTTGTCATTTGCACATCTTCCCCAGCTGTAGTCTAAATATATGGTTTCCAGGAGATTGGTTTATGGATATGAACTCAATATAATGAATGACATCTACCTAGATCCCCAAAGTAGTATGTTTCGATCACTGCAGAGTGCACCACTGATAATATCTGCACGCAGAATACTAAATATCAGGCAATGCAGTTACTCCAAATTTCAGAAATCACTTATTTGAAACTGGCAATTACAAGGTGTATCGAAATAGAAATGCGTACAAGTTCAATAAAGTCTTACTTTTAAGTAGTGACGGGCAGATTACTCATGCTTCTTTTTGATGGTGTGAAGCCAATTCTCTAGGTGACCAGGGGGGAAAAATCATTTTTTTAAAAAATGTGAATTATATTCTAGTATATGACATGTACCAAAACCAGAATTATTTGTCCACCCCTCTTGGCCAGTCTTCCCATGCTAGATTTTATCAAGTTCAGTGAAACCTGCTTCTACTTCACTTTTAAAATTAGTTTTCTGGAACCTACAGAAGTCATTTAATTTTATGTTTGATGCCCCATGATAATTGATTTCAGTATTTGACACGTGACGGCTGATATTTTGCAGTATTTGATAGTAGACCCATTGTGACAGTGTCACTCATTCCCAGCCCACGGTGTGTGTGTGAGCATGTGGAGACAATGGGGAGGTAACAATAAGGATTCAGAAAGTCAAAGGAACCTTCACAACTACTTATCATTACCCGAGAGATTGCTGGCAGAAATCAGCAGCCTGATCAAAGAGAGCCGTCCCTTCTTACATCTCCTTTTCACTTACATCTAGCTGATCCATCATTGTCAATCACTTAGCCCCAGTGGTAAGTAACACTCAGAAGCATGATGGAGGAGAGAGGTAGGTGTATCAAAGAAGAGGAAAATGGAACAATAAGAGGAAAGGTGGGAAAGGTATTGCAGCCATTCTTTGCCTTTTTTGTGGCTGTTGACAAACCTGAAAGCCTTGAGTTTTGTGTTATCACCCATCGACAGCCATGCAGTTAATATTTAATGGAACACAAGTTGCTATACAGTAATATATTAGCTGTTTTCAAATGTTCTATCTTGAGAGAACATGCCCATATCACATTCTGCCAATGAAACTCAGCGGGTCTGCCACAGAATCCCTGAACCTTACAGAATGATGACTGAGGCAGTGTTGGACCACAATATTTTTCATTGGGAAATAGTAGATAGGCTGTGTTTCAGCTGCTCTTCTTAGGAACCCCTAACAAGTGGTCAATGGACTCAGCACACCCTGCGAAATAGTTAGAAACCCATTGCCCTATCTGGGAAGACAATATTTGATAGGTAACATTTATTATTTTATTTATTTAATTAATTTGTTAGTCACATTATCTTCTCCAGGGCAACCCAAAACAAGTTACAACCAAACAGCCACACAGACTAAACCCTCCACATAGATAAATTAAAACCAAGAGGAAAAATAAATACATTTAAAAAATCCTACCCACTTCTAAAAGGCCACGTATCGTTAAGACTCTCCTCCCTGGAAGAGAGGGGAGTGGTTGTGGGCGGGAGCCCGAGCACCACCCCTAGCAGGGGGCATTAGCCCCCTGCCTCCTCCTCTCACCTGGCTGGCGCCCACGCCCCCTTGGCAGGCATCCAACCAGGTGCCTTCGAGGGGGCGTGATGATATATAATGGTATTTTATTTTACAACATTTGGCAGATAATATGCAGTGATCTAACACATACATTGCAGACAACTGATGGTTTAAGAGATTTAATATTTCTTTTTTAAAAAAAATAATATTTATTACTTTTCCAACAATTTAAACACTACAAAAAACAACAACAATACAATAGAATACAATACAAAAACAATACATAACACTAACACATTAAACTAACAATACAAAACAAAAACAGTTTAAAACACATCAAACAGTTTCAATATTTTATCTTTCATTCACTTATTTCAACGACCTCCTCACACCTCCCTTTTTGTATTCCACTTCTATTAATTGTTTCAGCAATTCCTTTCCATCTTCCTTTGTTTTCTATCCTATAATTATCTTAACCTTATCTTAACCTTATTTTTTCCTTTAATACTCTATTAATCTATTTATACTTAATTCATTATAACATTTTTACTAAAGCCATATAACTTCATTCCAACATTTTTCTAACATTCATTAATTTTACAATATTTCTGTAAATAGTCTTTAAACTTTTGCCAGTCTTCTTCCACCGACTCTTCTCCCTGGTCTCTGATTCTGCCAGTCATTTCCGCCAATTCCATGTAGTCCATCAACTTCATCTGCCATTCTTCCCAGGTGGGTAAATCTTGTGTCTTCCAATACTTCGCGATGAGTATTCTTGCTGCTGTTGTTGCATACATAAAAAAAGTTCTATCCTTCTTTGGCACCAATTGGCCGACCATGCCCAGGAGAAAGGCCTCTGGTTTCTTCAGGAAAGTAAGTTTGAGTATCTTTTTCATTTCGTTAGAGATCATCTCCCAGAATGTCTTAATCCTTGGGCATGTCCACCAAAGGTGAAAGCATGTACCTTCAGTCTCATTACATTTCCAACATTTATTATCAGGCAAATGATAAATTTTTGCAAGCTTGACTGGTGTCATGTACCACCTATAATTCATTTTCATTAAATTTTCTCTTAGGGCATTACATGCCGTGAATTTCATACCTGTGGTCCATAACTGTTCCCAGTCAGCCATCATTATGTTATGTCCAACATCTTGTGCCCATTTAATCGTAGCTGATTTCACCATTTCATCCTGAGTGTTCCATTTCAACAGCAAGTTATACATTCTTGACAAATTCTTGATTTTTGGATCTAGCAGTTCTGTTTCCAATTTTGATTTTTCCACCTGGAAACCAACTTTTTTGTTAATATTTCAAGTCTTCCATCATCAAATCAATCAAGAAATGCCAAAAAGGGTTCAAGCATTCAAATCTTGAGTTAAAACTTTCGTAATCTTAGTGCAAAATCAAATTTTGCTTAAAAGATTTTCATTTAAAAATGTGAATCTTATAGCCGAACATGAAGCCAAATAATATTTTTAGAAGCAGATTTATCTATGTGATTTCTGCAACTAACACTTCCCATTTGGGAAGTGACTTTCCTGTGGCAGTGTTTTTCTTGGAAGGACCATGACAATCAATCAAATGCCTTTTCGAGTTTACTTAATATATGTGAACGACTTTCTTATTAGTTCACAAAGGTATTATAGTAAATACCCCAGGTAGGTAGTATGGGATAGTTTACAATGTG